AGGTAGGTTTACTATTTTCAAGTAATTATTTCGTTACTTTTTAGTGTACTGTTTTTTTGAGAATATTTTGTTTTGTTTTTAGTGTATTTTTACAATGCATTTTTAAACAAAAGAGGTCAAAAATATGTTAATAATGAAACATGTTGCATAAGCGGCCGAAGATTTTAATCAGACAGATCGTAGCCGGCATATCCAGGGCACCTCGTGCGTTATGTAATACACTTTCTACTGAATGCGTATGTTTGCCTAAATAATGCCATAATGGTAGCTTATTGAAGATCTAGGTCAATATGCCAAATCGCATCTAGAATAATACCTTTGAAAAAGTGTAAGTATCCCGGCCCTACAATGTAAATTTTCGTAAGCTGATTGTTTTAGCAAAATACACATCCGTGCATTAACAAAATGGGACTATCTCTGGGTAGTGGACGAAACAAAAACTCCAATTTTTACATGTTTGTCTGTCTGTTCGCAAAGCGTTTGTACCGGGTAATACACAGCTATACAGATTTTGTTGGGACTTTGACGGTAATGTAGTGAATAACATAGATTTTTTTTAATTCATTGCTGTCGAAGTCGAATTAAAAAAATATAAGCTTACGTTATATACATATAAATTACCTGTGGCAGAATTATAGAAATCGGTCCAGGAGTTTTCATGTGAATCGAATACATACAAAAATCCAAAAACCCAAATCTTTCCTCTTTATAACATTAGTACAGATTAATGCATAAACCACAAATTAAAACCGCGAAATAAACGCTTACGAATCTGTCCGCGTGGAATAAAATAAACAAAGTAAGTAGCGTATGTGATCTTTCAGACTACCCTCTAAATCTGTGTCAAATTTCATCGAGATCCGTTCAGCAGTTTAGGCTACAAACTTTCGCATTTATAACATTAGTAAGATAAAATAGGTTACATAAATTATAACACGGCTAAACTCACGTGATAACATTCGGTGTAGGCAAAGACAGTTTCGAAGCCGTTGGGGGTCCTTCTTCAGGGTGAGTGATTAATCGGGTATACTCGCTATCGCGTCGCGACGGTCAGTGACCGTCAGTGAAACTGTCGGTGCCTACACCGAATGTTATCACGTGAGTTTAGCCGTGTTATAATTTATGTAGTATAATGTCTCACGAAAGTTTTAATAAGTTAATAAGATAGGTTATTTATCTATGGCATGGAAATCATCATTTAATTATTTTTTTTATTGCATAAAATATTTCCATTATCTCTCGATTTCCGTTTGAACTTCAAACAGTATCGATTGGAAGAACAGTGTTGTATCAGAGACCGGTACATTGACACTGCGGAGGCAGCTACCATGAATATGTTTCGTTCCACGCGGTTTTTACATCTTTTTTGCATTTTTAAATTTTGGGGAACTTTCCCTCCCTGCCTTGACGATATGCTGTAAACTACTAATTTCATCACATTTATATATACATTTGTGGGTTTGCATTTAACACAGATAATAAAATAATTCACTAGTATATACTAATATTATAAAGAGAAAAAATTTGCACTTCTGTATGTATTGATGTAACACAAAAACTACTGGGCCGATTTGAGCAATTCTTTCAGCATTAAAAACTAAATAACAGGCATATTTTTACTATCTTCTAATTCCACGTGGACGAATTCTCGATTCTCGATCAACATCTAGTTAAGGCGCTCTTTCAATGACTTTTTGGGGGAAGTAGGCGCGCGCAAACAATGAGCGGGGTGCACCGTTCTGTTAAATCGCGTGAGTCGAGTCTCGTCGGTTCTTATTTTTTCTGTAAGAAATATTTGAATTATGGTAGAATCGATTTGAATAAAACTAAACGTAGTAAAACTTATTCGAGTAGCTAATTCAATTTGCATCTGGTCACATTGAATCATCTGTTGGAAGTATTACCACACCAGAATAAGTTACATTTTTGAACTTTGTATTCATATTTTACACCTTAAATGTTCTTTACCATCCACAAGCGGCAAAAATATAATATGATAAAAGTGCAACCTTCTCTTCAAAATTTAATTTCGTGTTGACGATAAAAGATTTACCATTTTGGAAACTGCATCAAAGGAACTTACCGAAGATATATTCTTTGTTGGTGACAAGTTACTTTGCTAGAAACAAGTATTTACTGTGGAACATGTAAGTTTCTTTGTAACTATCGAACATTTTATACTAAGCTATGTTACAATAAGTAAATGCATTATTTACTTCAATACTTAGTCACATACATTACTACTTGTTATCTATATCAAAGAAATAAAAACCTTGATCATGAGAAAAGTATTAGAAGTGTGTTAATAATTCTATTTTATATATTCCAGAACCTCAAGATAAACTTATGGTGATGATGCCATATGTACTGTTAAAAAGATGACACTATTTGTATTGTAAATGTATGTTGCCTGAAGTCACCATGAAAAACTACATTCAGAATGGAAGACCTTGAAATAATTTACAACCAGATGCAAACACTGATGCATGTTACCAGGAACAGAAAATGCTACTTTAACATAGCAGAAGTAACCCATACAAATCTTAATAAAATTGTAATATTGGTAAAAATATGTCAAATCCTTTTAACTCTTTTACAAATAAAACTCTTTTATTATTATATTATTAGTAACAGAATTAAATACAAATTATTAATATGGTAGTGTTTTTTTTCCTGTTTTACACTGCACCTCAATTAGAAATCCGCTTAACAAGTTTACCAAACATGTTAGGTGACAATCAATAACAATATAATACATAAATAAATTTTATTATTTAAGTATGTCTTACTATTATTTAAGTCTTTTTATTAGTATATGTATAAAAATATGTTTATTTTATTTTCATTTAAAAGCCAGTCGGATGAAGACAAAATAATTTTAAAAAGAATAATACGTAAAACATATTGCTTATGCAAGCAAGTGACTTAAGACTCTCTTATGCATTCCATTAATCTCACTGCAAGAACTTTTAATTTTCAACCTTCACTTCACTTTCCCTTCCACCTTTACTTCACTATAGATTAATTTGAGTCGTTTCCTTTTTGCATTGATTAGTTTAGTATAAATTAAAGTACTGGCAATTGGTCGTTGGCGAGCAAACTGTAGATAAACAAGATCCATTGAAGTATATATATTGTATATCATGGTTTTATAACTAAAATTGGTATTATATAAAATAATTTAACAGAATTACTAAAACAGGTGACAAATATAATTTTTATCACCTGTTATAACAGAAATATGTTTCTATTTACTCTTTACAAAATAACTGGTACTTGTTATTTTCTATGCCGATGGATGTCTTCCAGCAAATATTAAAAGTTTTCTCTTCATGGGGTCGGAAGCAGATTTTAATTAAATTCAATTAAAAATTAACTAATCAACGTATTGCAAAAAACTTCGGGTTAACGGAAGATAAAGTACTCGTGTATAGCACTTCAATTTTTTACTTTCATTGTAGTTTTGCAGATATATGGTGATTTTTACAGAATTAGGCACATTTTCAAAAAAAAATCTATCGAGAAATGTTTGTCCAATCGTGATTCTGTTATGGAGACTTTAATTAAAGGACTGAAGTTACACATACTAAAATATCACGAATCAAATCTTTTTAAAAATCCTATTCTAAGCTTCCAAAGATGCGCGATTTAGGCAGACCGCGCCTTAAGGAATAATTTAATTGACTGATGTAGTTATTTATCCACAGACGAGCAGTACTATGAGATGCCACATCTCTTCCACCTGGATGAGTATGACGGTTGCTTAGCAACGGGAGACGTCTATTGCCTCGGGAGCTTCGAGCTGGCCGCTGATAATGACAACAAACTCTTCCAAACTATGCAGGTGAATAGCAACTTTCACTCATTATATTAAAATTCAAAATTCGTGTACGACTGTAAACGGTAACAAATAAATTAATACTTCCTGAATCTGTCACTGAAATGACGTCATTTCATTTAATTAAAAATAAAAGAAATACAGGGAATTGAAGGAAAAGTTATTGAACATATTACAAAACAACACCCAAGTATAAAACAAAATGTAATTGAATTTAAAACACTTCGTTTACATTTGCTCGAAGGTATGAATAACAGCTCGTAACAGTTTATGAATTAAAAAGTCCTCTTTTCACAGTCAAGGCCCATTAAATAAACATAACATAGAACTTGGTTGCATAAACTATTGCGTCAGTGAGCAGCGCGATGTAACTAACTACCGATAAAAAATATAAACACAAAAGAAATTTAATCTCCTACGTTTGAAGTCGTTTAAAAACAGATTAAAAGCTCTTTAGACATAAAATTTACACACAGACAATAAACTGCAGACTTAAAAAGCGTTTAATGGAATCGACGACCATTATTTGTAAGGCTGTAAATATACAAAATATACAAATTCAATCATATTATACTCTTGCTTGGAATGCCTACTACGTAGTTCTTTTTCTTAAAGACGTTTGTAAATGGTGATCCATTCATGTGTCTGTTAATTAATTTTTTATTGTTGTTTTTATTCCTATTTGTTAACAAAATTATAAGCTGCACATAGCGACTGCAACTATTTATCTCTCTGCTAGGTTATTTCATATAAAAACTAGGCAAACGTAATTAATTTTGTAATTCTATATTTCCTAGATTTCGTATAAGGGACTGTCGAGAGTGAAAGGAGTTAGGGCGTTTGGTGGGGAGAGGTCGATGACCGCTGTTTCTGTGTCAAGAAGTCAACGTGATGCGATTTTGTTTTTTTTTAAATATCGGGTCGCAAAATTCTTGATGGCCAGATTTATTGTTTGTTAGAGTTTGTAGCCTAAACAACTTAACGGATGTTGATGGACGGAGTTGGGCGAAAGCAGTATACTAATATTTCTTTTACCATTCCAACTAAGCTCTAGGCTTGTGCTAGGATATGGTTTACAATAATCAAATAGCGGGATTCGAACTTTCGACACCGTAATCGAAAATCCGTACCTCTTACCTATTAGCTCTTACAAATGAGTGGAATAACTATTTAAGTTAAACACAAACAATCAGATATGGTAATCGGTCAAAAAATTATCTAGGCTGCAAAATCGTTGACCCAGTCCGGTAGTGAGATAATATCGTGTAACGCTTTACGTAAATATAGCAACCTTTAGCTGACGTTGTGGACGACACGCCTAATACCCAATTATGTAACACGCACGAAGATTGCAAAATTCAATGGTATGTTTTTATAATTAAATTTTGATACAAAGCTAATTTAATTGTAGCCGGACTTTTAAAAAGCATAAGACTAAAAGAAGACTGTTAGAGGCAGTAATGGTTTATTTTTATTACTACCACCGCACTATTTACTCACAGAAATGCTGATACCGGATAAATTTAAGGATACTCGACTTCTAGGAGTACATTTGTTTACAATCTTTTATCGTGATTTGGGATAATGTATATTTTTACAGCGATATTCAGCGAATTGGGTGGACAATTTCAATCATACGCGATTGCACCGCGGTCTCTGCTTGAAGCGAAGCTGCTCTGAGCACGCCCCGCCTTCGCTGTCATTCCCGCCAACTCACCATGAACAGCAAGCCTGGTATTGTATATTAAAGACCACACAACTGTGGCATATTTTCCATACGTTTACGTCCAAAATTGATCTGTACAGCCACTCATGTGATGTTCAGATGTTTGATTTAATACAAGAATTACATAATACTGCTCCTTAATAACATAAAAAGTCCCTAAAGTATTCTTAAGTTCTTTCTTAAGTGTGACTTTTACAAAGATTTACATTTAAATGTTTGACTTTGAAAGTAAATGCAGAAATACTTAGAATCATTCTCATAATCTCTACAAGACGAAGACAGTTTCCTTAACTCTACGACAAGAGTAATAAAATCTTTAATATGTTTTTTTCATTACATCTTAGGTTTTCATCATGCGTAAATGAAACAATGCAACGCGGATATAATCTCCGTGCTCGACTGTATAAGCTAGAATACTGCAAGACTAGTGCTTCAAAGTCAGGGGGTCCATTGTCTGTCAGCGAAAAGGGATTTGCAGCGGCTTTGGCAGCTGTACTCGCATTGGCGGTAGTCAGTACTACCTTGGATTTTACATTGTCCGATGACGCGAGAAAAGGTAAGCAATGACGCTGAAGAGTGTAAATAAAATCTCAATTCCAAATTCAAAATTTCGTTTCCGATAATAACCACAGATAAATCAATTGTTTTTAATATCTGGCACGTTTAAAAATGACGACGTTGATTCCAAAAAAAAGTAACAAATTCAAATCACGTTCGATAATGGCCAGTGATAAATCGAAGGATTTTTTTTTAAATATCTGGCACGATATCTGGTTGACGGCAACTCTCAACGTTAGATAACCGTCGCCGGCCCCGATTGGGAAACGCATATCCGCGCTAAAACTGATTTCTCTATACCACACCTAATTAGGACAACCGTAGACGATGATTGTGTGAATTAGTATGGACTTTGCTTTTTTAATCTGTATTATTTGTAGTTTCGCTCCTGATAGAAAGATTTCCTGTAGTTATTGTTTGATGTAATATTATAAAGCCGCTATCTTTTAGGCGCTGGCTGGGCACTGTCTTGGTCGTTGCGTCAGTCATGGCGGACACTAACTGCGCCTCCGCCCGCGCCCGCAGACTGCGACCTCCGCGCATTTGATGGTCTCCGTGTCTTCTGTATGTTTTGCGTGATAATTGAACACGTCTGCTGGCTTTCCACGCTGTCTTATCTCGCTGATACCAGGTTTTCAGAACAGGTGAGTTAGAGAGTCAATATTTAGAATAAGCATAGCTCACTTGAGTCAGGTTCCAAACCAAATGTTAATATTATTCACTTTATTTCGTAACAAAAAATAAAGCTTATTATAATTTTGTAAAAACAAACTTGATAACTGATATATTACCTGTCAGATAAATTACCGGTGAAAAAAAATTGTTTTCTATGCCTAGTTCTATATTTCCTAAATGTCTTTGGTTCAAATTCAAACGTATTTGTAGTTGAAAATGTAATCAGGGTTTTATTTGTGACCTTTTCACAGACTCGTCGCACCACTGACGTGATGCTGATGACGAACAGCACGCTGGTGGTGCAGATCTTCTTCATCATGTCCAGCTTCCTGCTGGCTCATAAGCTGCTGCATGATCGATCTCATCTGCCACCCATACGCACCTTCTTTCATACTATGTTTAATAGGATTATAAGGTAGCGTTTATTTTGATATTATCTTTTTAATTATTATTCAAAAGATTAAAATTATATTCTCCTACAATCGAATTAAGAAATTATAGTATTTCCGGTGTAGGTCCTACTTGTTAAATCCGTACTCCCTAGTCATCGAGGTTTTTTTTTATGGTTAATTTTTGTCCATACGTGAGTGTGGCCTTTTTATGTTTGTTAAGCCAACGCTTGACCACCATCCGCTCTGATGAAAGTGATGATCCTTTATTTATAACTAGCTGTTGCTCGCGACTTTGTCCGCGTTAAATAAAAAGAAATATAGCCCACGTTCAGCAATAACGTACCTTTCTAAGGGTGAAAGAATTGAAATCGCCCCAAGAGTTGTTGACAATACATACAAAAATATAAAAATACAAATCTATCCTTTTTATAATATTAGTATCTATCATTTCTCACGGAAGTTTATAAAATGTAACTTTCCTAAGACTAAGTCCGAGTTACTTCGCGGTGTTGTGGTTCGCGGCGAGCTGGTGGGAGCGGCTGGGGCGCGGGCCGCAGTGGCCGCCGCTGGTCGCCGCGGAGGCTCGCGTCTGCAGGGACAAGTGGTGGACTCACCTCCTTTACCTCAACAACATCGTATATCCCGACGATAAGTGTCTTGTACAGACTTGGTGAGTAAACGCAATAAGAAATTATAAGTCCTCGTCAAGTTTACCTAAAGAAGAGAAAAAGAAAAGAGGTTCTGACTCATATTATAAGGCGTGATGAATAATTTTGTGTGAATTTAAATTATATGTTAATTATGCTAATTACCGTCGACTCTCACTGTAATAAGAAATAATAAAACTAAAGAAAATAAATTGTCAAATCATTTTACAATTCAACAAAATTGTGAAATATTGAAGTAACCATTGCATTCCCTTCTTTAAAATGCGAAGAAAAAGTTGTAAAACGTAAGTCATAATAAAACATTTGGTACACAAAGCGATGTAAATTCTTGTAATCTGGCGATTTTAGTCGCTAAGCGACTTACTCAATACAATCAACGCAGGAACGGCTTAATTTCTCCTGCATATGCTAATCTGGCTGATTGTATGTTTTCTTTAGAATAAGTCATTTTATGTAACTTGTTTTTTGTGTCAATAAATACATATTCATTTAATAATACGAGGATCTTAACATCTTATTACAAACTCCAGTCGCTTTGTCACTGTGATTTTAAAGATGGCGGATAAAATAAAAAAAGACCTTATTCATTTATAGGTATTTAGCGGCGGATACACAGCTGTATGCGTTAGCATTGGCCATAACACTGCTGCTCCGCAACCGCCGCGGCAGCACCGCGGTGCTCGCCGCACTGCTGCTCGCCGCCACCGCCGGCACCTTCGCCCTCGCCTACGTGTGGCATCTCGTGCCTACATTTATAGTGCACAGACCGGAGTGAGTTTATGTTAATTTAATCGACAAGAATACTGCATGTATACCGAACATTTTTTTTATAACGTGAAGTGGTAAACGAGTAAGCGGCCACCTGAATCCACCGAATTGGAAAGCGACCGCTCCCCATAGACATCCTCAATTGCAGATGCGTTGCCTAACTTTAACTGACGGAGGTTTTATGTGTGGTAGTGGTATTACTGGGGACGAGCCGGCCCTACAGTGCGATACCACTGCTAAACTCTATGGCATATTATTGTAAACAAAGGAGTAAGAATGATAAAGAGATACTTACCAACTCGATACCGTTCGCCGCCTGCAGGTATCTAGTCTGTCGATGTCAATCCAATCAAGTCTAGTTCAAAGTCTATAGGCACCAGAGATTCCACCGGCAGATGCACTGGTAATCACAGTTATTGTTTCTAACGCGAAACCGAAATACAAAGTGACCCCGTTCGCTAAAGTAACAGGCCCGGTGTATCTTTCGCGATGTTGCAACCACTTCCGATAAAACTTCGAACTCGCACACTTGTAGCCGACTTGCTGGCTGCCAGCACATGACTATTACCGCCTACATCTCTCTCCGCAGCCCGAAGTCGACCCCGACTGAACTAGAAAAAAAATTCAAATGTACCCTCTTTTGCGGGCGAATAAAAATTCGCCCTGTCACTCGGATTAAATCTGTATAGCGGGACGCGAAATTTGAACTACATATATGTTCGCCACCGAATGTGAACCCATATGATCTGTGAAGTGTTGTTATGCATTAACAAGAAAACATATCGTATTTTTGTAATAAATTGCTGTTTGTCTAAGTCTTGTTATCTGTTTAACTGAATGGGGATGTTTCCTAATGTTACAAATCCAAATAAAGTTATGTTTAATATTTTAAAGACAGCATTTTATAACCTATAATAACATTTAGAGACCTTGAATGTTTGTCTCAAATTAAATATAAATTAAAAACGCTGCAATATTTTTTACCCTCCATTACTCGATCTCAAACACCAATGACGTCACTTTCTTGCATATAACATGGCAGTGTGACCAACTTCAGTGAATGTCAGTGCATTTTGTAGTTATATTTTTTTCTAAATGATTGTAATAATTGAGTTTGCGTGTTTTATATTATGAGGACTCCATTATTGAGTGTTTTTATAATTACGACATAAGTTATGAGCAAAACATTTTATGAATATTACAAAAGAAAAATATATCAAAATTCATAAGAGTAGCTTATAGTACAATTTAATTTATACCTGGTCACACTGGTGTAGGACGCAGTCACTGTTTACACACAAACATAATCTTCCACGAGAAGCAACAAGTGTAATTAATACGTTAAAAGTATCACCTTCTGTTCATTTTGGTTTTTTCATTTTTATCTCCATTACTAAAAACAACTTTAGACAACAAAGATTTACGAGTATTATCAATCAATGGTTCTTTCAAATTGACAGTGACAGGCCGTGATGCGAGGTTCGTATGCAAAGAAGTGACGTCATGGGACGTTTTGGGGGGAAATGAAAGAGTTGTTTTTATTTACGTGTTTTTTTATTGAAATAATGAGTATTATATTTTATACTATTTTTTTTCGTGTTCATACATGGTTTATCTACAAAATAAAGGCTATTCCAAAAATTAGGAAACATCCCCATTAGAAAATATTAGAGCACTTAAGTAGATGTAGATACTGAACATTACGAGGGGACGATTCCAATCTTTAAGAGTAGTAATAACCCACGATCTTTTAAGATTTATTAGTAGTAGCTTTCATCTGCGACTTTTCCGCATGGAATTTAAAACAAAAATAACAAGATTAAGTAGCCTATGTCTTCTTCCAGACTATCCTCTACATCTATACCAAATTTCATCGAAATTCGTTCGGCCGTTTAGGATACAAACTCTAACAAACATCCATCCATCTAAACTTTTGCATTATTAAATATTAAAAAGAAGTAAGATAGTTAGAACTCCGTGATTTTATTAAATGGAATATTTATTTTTAATTTAGATCAGTCCGTGCGATGTACCATGGCGACGCGTCCTTCAACATGCTGTACCAGTCCCCGCTGGGCAACGCGGCGGGCGCGCTGTGCGGCTTGCTGCTGGCGCACGCGCACCACGCGCTGCGGCGCGCCGGCCTGCAGCCGCACAACTGTCAGGTGATACGAATGAACTCACTTAAGTTAACTTATACTTACAATGGTAGAGCCCGCTTTAACATCTTCGCACGAATGGGTCGGCTCGCCTCAGCAATACCACCACCGTATAAGACAGACGTTGTTCGGGCCCTGACTTGACTTCACGAAGAATGGACGCGTGTGGTCAGGGCGATGGTTGTCGACGAATGTTCTTTCTTCATCGCGTGCGTCGTCTTGTTCCCCGCTGCATTGATCCCTCGCTCCCTGCGGCGCGCCTCGCCGCCCGCAGAAGCGCCCTCTAGTGGCACCTGCCGCCACCGTCACAGCAGCGACGAAATCGATGGCGTCGCGGCCGGCGGTACGCCGCGACGCCATCTGTTGGCCTCAACATGTAACGCCTTAACAGACGTAAAGTAGGAGTAATTCCGTACAGTCTGATGAGTATGGTGCTGGAGGCCCAACTCTCTCTTTTATCAAGTCTAGATTGACACTTCCATGTGATGAAGCAATTGCTATTGACAATTATCATCAAAGTATTTGTAAAACATTTAAAAGCTTTGAAACTGACGAACTTTTGCTCGCGAAACTCTCCGCGTAGGATTAAGAAAACAAAAGCAGCCTTGGTGTTCTTCCACACTGTCTTCTCTACATCTATGTCAAATTTCATCCAAATTCATTCAGCCGTTTAGTCTACAAACACTACCAAACATTCATCGATATAAACTTTCGCATTTATAATATTAGTAAGAAGAATCTGTTGGCAGATGTTCCGCTGGGTGTCAGTGTGCGCGGCGCCGCTGGCGCTGTGGTGGGCGGCACTGTCCCCGCGGCTGGTGCCAGCGGGCTCGCCGCCGCGCGCCGCAGCCGCGGCACTAGCTGCACTCGAGAGGCCAGTGTTCGCTCTCCTTGTCATACTGGCATTACTCGGTGCTATCAACGGAGTTAAATGTATGATATACGTTTTTCACATCTAGAACATTCCACAGATTTTCATAATATGGGCAGTTTCAATCCGTATTCCGATTGAAAAACGGTGCTTCTTTTATTTTTCAAGAACTCAGCAACTATTTCCATATTTCAAACCACAAATATATTTAAAAACTTTTAGAGCCTGTCCTACCACTGGCTGATAGAGGCTTAGATAGCTTAAAAATGACGTCACTGTCAGATAAGGGAACAAAATCCGATATTTCCAACACATATTTTACAAGTTGCATTGTTATGAGTCAATTTACAATTTGGTGCGACAGGCCCTATATATCTCAATATTTACACGATTTCATTAACAAATTAATACCATCATCAAACCAGTGTGGTTCAGTGTGATATACCAGGTACTAAGGAAGCATCAGTTGCTAAAGAGCCGGATAACCCATGCTTTGTCATCAGATAAATTTCCTACAAGACCCATTAGTCTGTGTTCTTCCAGACTATCAACAAGATGTAAAATTTTCTAATCATATTACGATAAAGTACCATCATAGCATAACAGCGTGTGTATTGCAGCGCCGTGGCGCACGTGGCTGTCGGGGCGCGGCTGGGCGTTCTGCGCGCGGCTGTCGTTCGGCGCGCTGCTGCTGCACATGCCGCTCAACAAGGCTCTGCTCGCCTCCAGAATCACTCCTATACAACTTGACAGACAAAATGCTGTACGTTACACTCCTTCATAGTAATAGAATAAGAATCTATTTCTTCTTATTGTCCTATGTCCCCGAAGTGGAGCGAGGGAGTATAGTTATTTTAAAATAGTATGTCGAAAAATACTTCTACAGCACTTTTCCTTCCTTGAAGAGTTTGATAAATATACAAATGGCGCTCGAAACTTCGTGAGCGTTAAATGAAAAGCATAATTATTATAACCTATGTTACACTGTGATAACGTAGCTTTTTAATTTATTTATTATATAGCACTTTTTGAGCATATACTGCTTCACACAATCCTTTATTGGTCACGAAAACCGTCCCCTAGCATGTAGTAAAAGAAATCCACAACATAACAGTGCAGTCAAAATTTTTGTTTTACTTCTTAGATATTTGAATGGTTTGGTGTAGCGGCGATATCTTACGCGGCGGCGCTACCGCTCGCGTTGCTAGTGGAGATACCAGTACAACGACTACACAGAGAACTGACGCGGCGCGGCGCCAAGCAGGAACGACCGGTCAGTACTCAATATTCCTTATTCATTTGAATGATAAACCTCTTTTACACTTAGACTGCAGTCTCTGCCACACCCAGAGTTGTTTAATTCAAAATACTAGTATACAATCCTTAAACACAGACATCTCAAAAACCAATTGACCAAAATTAGCTGGTGATTCCCATATCACATGTTAAATTTACACTAAAGGTTTTCCGCAGCTCAATAACTGTATTAATTGATATGATAATATCTTAACTAAAGACCGTCGTTTTTATAATTTTTTTTAAATTTCCAGTCCCAACACGTGCAGTTGTCGCAGCAGCCAGAGAAGACTGAAATGTAAATGACAAACATAAGTGTTAGTTTAGCTCAAACTTTGATGAAGACATCAACAGTTTGTAGCTACATGTAGGCTGTATGTTATTGTAAATAGACTAAAATAGTCAACGAGAATAATCATCATATTTTGTAAGGTATTTATATCCCAATCCAAATGAACAGGGCCGGTTTAAGCATTAGCCCTGGGCGTGATGGGTGATGGCATGAAGGGGTTCTACGAAGCACTTTACATCCGCCCTGGTCGGTCGCCCCAACTCGCCCTACCCTAAGACCGCTATTTTTAATAATAAATGGAAACAGGAAGTCAAATTCCATATATGGCGGCCATGTTTATTTGGGGGATCTATAGTGTAAAGTAAAAGTAAGTACATTTTTATTCTTATCTTAGTATATGTATGTGATATATTCGTTTTACATAGGCGCATTTAATTATATTGGTTATATAAATTAGATGATTGGACTAGTCAATCTTGATAAACTGTATTGCTCAATTTAGCTATCTAATAAGAGCTTAAAAAAAGACGTAAAATACATCGATAGCTCCTACGTAAACTATGGTAAGCCACAATGTCCACTTGTTTTTTTATTCAACTGAATAAATACTAATTCCTATGTGAATTTAAGAGTAACGTTAGAAACAACTGTGTTCAGTTGTTTACATTTTCATTATTGATGTCATAATGTATTGTTTTTTAATGATTTGTTTTGCAAAATTTGCGTTTAAAACATACAATAGTTTGTGTAGGAGCCATAAAAACATCAACTTTAAACTGATTCTGCAATGATGTGGAATATAACACATCAGCAATAGTATACCAACTTAAAACCTCTATAACTTAAAATATTCTGTGTTTCCCTTGGACTTAACTTATCGAGGTCCTACTGTAGTATTAAAAATTATCTTAATAATGTATATAATTGTGATATTGAAAAATTATAATTTGTAAGAAAATTCTTAACTTAAGACAATTCCACAATCCATGTTGTAAAAAAAACTAATCTTCATAAATATTAGAAAAGTACATGTCGGGTAAATAAATGACAATATGAAAAGTTGTATTTTTATTGAAACTGAATCCTTAATACAACATAAGACATCACATAACCACAAACAAAATCTATGGCTAAATTTACACTTCAATATCACCATTCACTCACTAGTTTTTCATATAAGATAAATAAGTTTTAACTGTTAAACTGAAGATTTATGTATATGAGAATCTTCAAGATATCCAATAGTTTTGTCGCTATCAATAATGATGGAATTCCATCACCCAGCTGGTACAACTTGATTGCTTATGCAAATAGTAATAGCTATCATAGTTCCTGTGATTTAATATTGTTAGTCATACTTTAAAAACATAATTGAAAAATTGGCTGAAAATCATGAACATGTGTAGTTTAAACAACTTAGTGTATCATTTTACAATTAAAGAATTATTTTACACTCTGTGTAAAATCTGCACTTCAAGTGTGAAATGGTTTATTTCCTACCAGTGAGAATGTAGAAATCACATATCTTATTACTAAAGAACTGGTATAATCTTAATGTATGAACTAGACAAAATGTTAGCGGCGAGAGGGTCCTGACCCACCCTGCCAGCCGCCTCTGTGCCCCCCGCCTCTTCCACTCGCTCGGCCTCGACCAGCAGCTGAAATTTGTAAAGAACAATGGTGAGAAATACATGAAACTTTGCCTGCGACTCAACCATGTAGAATTAAAATAACAAAAACAATAAGCTTGCATGTTTTTCCAGATGTTCTACATCTGTGCCAAATTTAATTGAAATCTGTTAAGCTGTTTCAAAGATGATTTCTAACAAATAAACATCTTTCCATTTTAACTTTCACATTTATAATATGTAAGATTACAAAACTATATACATCCCAACTGGAGTGCTCCGAGCTTACTATGAAGTTATTCATTTCAGGAGTGTTCTATTGGTAAAAAAATTAACACTATTGGTGAAACTAAATCACCTATTAAATTGACTTCCTTATGAAAATATAAGTGGTTTCTGTGTGCTTATCAAACCCTTATTACTACAAAGTCAATTAAAATCATGGGCAAGAATTTCTGTAATTAGACTACATTATAATTACAACTACAAATTAGAACACAGCTAGATCATTTACTGATTAATAAATATAACAAATAACAATTTAACATACTCTATGAATTGAAATAATCAAAACATCAATAATGTTAATGTGTCAGTCAACTTTTAATTTCAACAAAAAATTGTTGACATAGGTTGGTTTGTTTAGTAAATAAGGTAGAGAAAAATGAAAATGGGAAACCTACCTTGTGCCCGTAATATCGCGCTTTTACCACGTCCTGCACTAGGTTTATTCCCTTGTCTTTTGAACATTGGCGCGTTCTTCAACATATCAGGTAATATTAAAAATCTTATCTTAGAACCTCGGATGTAAACATTCTCAAGCTGAGCCACACGACCATCTCGATACGTTACAGTAACTAGCGTCATTTGGCAATTCATATTATCTTCAGCTTCTATCAGCTTTCCTCGGTAAACTTCGCCGGTAATTGTTTCACAAGTTACTACATGACCTTCTGCTTCGTGCAGGACTTTAATAGGAACTCCGATTGACATATTAAATGTTGGCAAATACAACTATTTATCATAAAATGCACAATTTTTGAAAAACACTGGGATTAACACCGATTTAATTTGAATAGAATTCTTCATACAAAGTATAAACAACAATGAAAACAAAAATGGCGGAACGAATCTGGTTGGTGTTGATACATTTAAAAAACAAAACAAAGATATCCAATTAAAAAAAATGAAATCAGTACCTCTAAATTCTTGTTTTATTTTGTTTTAATACAATCAACGTTATGCTTTTAACAAGAAGAAAAAATTGTAAACCTTATCTGTTCAGAAATTAAGCGTTTTTGCTTTTTCTTTCACAATCACGTAATGTTCTGTCATTGTCAATTCATTCACTGTCAAAATTAATTTTTATCTATAAAAACGCGCAAAGTTGGAGTTGGCATAGGTTTGGTTTCAAATCAAATTGTTTAAAACTGTGGAAAAAAAATATAATTGTAGCGTTTAATTAGTGAATAATACTGTATAATGTTTATTTATTTGTAAACACAGAAATGGCTACGACAGTTATGAAAGTTGAATACGAGAATGAGGCGTGTGCAATATGTGGTTCCGCCGGTGATCTGCTTAGCCTCGATGAACACGACGCTGGGTCTCCTCCCCTGCAAGTGCCTTTAAGATCTATGTTACTGCAGCTTAACAACAATAAGGTATGATGTAAAAAAATATGTGACTTGTGATGTAAAGCCATAATTTTAACGTATGCTTTTATGCAGGTTGTTCCTGAAGGTAAACTGTGTATAGAATGTGTACGGCGTGCTATCGAAGCTTATGAATTTAGTACAGCACTAAGTACAAAAGGCGCACCACCATTAAGTGAAAAAATCAGAGCTTTGAGACGCAAATTACACGAATTGACTCAGAAGATTGATGTGTTCATTGTCGTTGGTGGCCCGGGCGTGAACTCCGGTGGTACATATAATGAGGATGATATAATAATGGTGGAGAGAGACGCGTTGGCTGCTGCCGCAGCTGCTGATGATGAAGACCTGGAGCAAGCGAGGAATGCTTGCGGTGAAACAGTTTATCAATGCTCAGTGTGTCCATTATCATTCCAGGTTAGTAGGTTATTGACAATTTATAAAACTACACATACATTACTTATTTAAAAGTAAATTATATGCTGGGGATGGATACAAGGGTAGACTGAAGAAAATATAGATGGATAGTGTGAAAGATGATATGCATAAGAAGGTAGTGAATTCTATGGGCTTGTAGTTTTTGTTTACTAAATGAAATAGTGTGAAAATATCCATCAAGAGTAGGGCTTTTTACAAAAAAAAATAAAAGTTTTAAAATAGGATGTGATTGCTGACATTCTACATAACAAAAATGTTGTGTGTTTACACTTTATCCTAATATAGATAAGTAGACAATGCTTGTAACTTGACACTATCAACATTACTTTCAGCGTGCAAGTGAGTACCGCACCCACATCTCGCAGCACCCTGGCGGCGCGCGGCACTCGTGCTGGACGTGCGGCGCGCAGTTCGCGACCCGCGCTTCCCTGACTGAGCACTCGGCTATGCATGCAGCCCCCGACATCACTGGGTCTACATGCCGCTTGTGTCATACTAACTTCCAGGTATAGTAAAATTAAATCCATCTCAAAGGCTACTTAGAGGGTTGTTAGTTATTAAAAATGTAACTGGCCCCATTTATACTTTTATTACATTCAATATAGATATATTTTTTGAGAATTGGTGGCTTTTCGATTAAGCACTTGATTTTGTTAAGTTTTAGAATCCTACCAATTACTATTGTGGTTTCCTGTTTTCTATATCGTATGTAGGTCGCGCAGAAATACAAAATGCTCCATTTATAGAAAAAAAAAGGGAAAACCCCCATCTCTTCTCACAAACAACTAAATAATTGCGAGTTGCGGGCAAAAGGTCGTACTGATAGTCCATGTTTATTTACGAAGTTATGTAGTTTTTTGTTTAGTACAATTTGATTTCTATAAATATGATTTATATCCAGAGTGCCTCAGAGCTCCGTCGTCATGAAGCTACATGTGAAGCTCGTTGTCCAATATGTAATGTGATCTGCTCGTCCCGCGCTGCGCTGTCAGCACACGCGCAGTCTGCTCACGCCTCACCGCCGCTGCTCTGTGGCGCGTGCTTCCGTACATTTAACACAAGGGAGCTGCTCGCTGCCCATAGACTACGGCATAGACATGCTGATAGATTTGTCTGTGGTTACGACTCTTGTATACTGCGTTTTGCTACCAGGTAAGTTTACAGACAGTAGAGTAGTGTTTAACTGGACAAGTGGTGTAGTGTAAACAACTAGCGTCAGTCAATACATAGCTTGCCTGCGCTACTGTCTATTTAGACTAGTATAGTTATAATATTTTTGATCTTAAATTAGTAGTGGCAGTGAAACAAAAATAATAAAATTTGGTTTTCCAATGCAATATATCATGTACACAATTTTTTTTGGTCAACTAGTTTAAATCGGCACAAAACAGCTAAAATTTTAAAATATTGATAATATGAGTTCAAACCTCAATTACACCATGATTTTTTTTCTTTTGTATGTTATTTTACGAGTATATTCAGTCGGTCGGGTTAGAATTTGTTTTAAAATAAAGTTTAGGTTATTTAAATCTGTGAATTGTTTTAGGAATGACTTGTTGTCGCACATCCGCAAGTGCCACAGCAGCGTGCCGGAGGCGGAGGCGGAGGCGGAGCCCGCGCAGCCCGAGCGCAGCGCGCCCGCCGCCACGCCCTGCCCGCACTGCCCGCGCACGTAAGAATCAATACACCACTGTTATACAAAAACTGCACTATCATTGAAATATTTCTCTGTCCAATATATTAACATTTTTTCTTTTCATTTATGTTATTGTTGACATATGAAAAGAAACATGTCCCAATCAAATAATTAAAAACTAGGTGTTGCTCGCGACTTAGCCCGCGTGAAATTAAAAAAATACAGCCTATTACTAACTGATAATGTTGCATTTTAATAGTTAAGAATTTTTAAAATCGGCCCAGTAGTTTTTGAGTTATTTCGACACATACGAAAATAAAAATATATAAATCTACTTTTCTTGTTTATATACCACCTTGTTTCTCAACAACCACACAGAATTTAGTATTCCATCTATATCTATATAAACTAATATAATAAAGCGTAAAAACACTTTGTTATGTAGGATATCATCATTCCATAGTTTATTTTTGAATATATTTTTTTTATTAAATAGCCCTACACATATAACACGATATAGGATTTATATTTTCACACTATTAAATTTACGGAGTTAACAAAATGGGAATTTTGTTAGCGGGAAAGGAACAAAAAATACAAGCCAATATCAGTAAAGAAAGATTGCCATAGTAACGGTAATTGTTAACCAATTTCAAAGACAATGTAAGCAATAAAATAAAGTTTTTTATAATTAAATGCGGATGAAGCTACACGGGAATAGTTATAATATAAATATGTGTGACTTTCAGGTTCGCGTCAGTGGCGGCCATGAAGCGACATATCCGAGTACATCGCAATCGTCACACGGAACAGGTAAATAGATGTTCCCTTTATACATATATCAAAATATAAAAAAAACTTGACCACTAACTAGTATAACTGTGCTAGGATTTGCCCGTTCACGTGAAATTTAAAAAAGAAAGTAGCCTATGTGTTCTTCCAGATTGTCCTCTACATCTATGCCAAATTTCATTAAAATCCATTCAACAGTTTAGGTTGCAAACACTAACATTCATCCAAACTTTCGCATTTACAATATTAGTAAAACTATCTTTTGCGACTTCTCAGTGTGGTATTAAAAAAACTTAGGGCCTGTCCCACCACTAGCTGATAGAGCCTCAGATAACTTAAAAATGACTCACTGTCAAATAAGGGAACAAATTCGATTTCCATTACATATTTTACACATTCTTTTGATATCAAACAATTTATAGTATGGTGGGACGGGCCCCTAATAGTCTATGATTCCTTCTAGATTGTTCTACATTTATGAGTAATTTCACCAAGATCCGGTACGCCGTTTTAGAAATATGTATAACTAAATTCCATCCATACAAACTTACGATGTAAGTTATGATTGGTATAATAGTTTTGTTTTAAATACTTTAAATAATTGAAATGTTTAGGAGGGTGCTGATTGGCACATAGAGGCGGATGGGGAAGGGGAAATGGAGGGTGCCGGGGGAGGGGAGGTGGAGTACCTGGAAATGGACGCCCTGGATGACATGGATTATGATGACAATGATATGGGCTTGAATTAATTTAACACATTACATGCCGCTAGTTTAAAGTTACAAGATATTGTTGACATTGAGTGTGTTAAGACAAAATTGGTTGTTTCGTCCAAAAATTTGTAAAACTTACATAGACTTTGAGTTTGTCTCAAATGTAACAGTCTAGTTTAGTTCAATATGTTTTTTTTTATGAAATTAAGTAATAAAGTTCTTATAGTTTGTGTTTATAATAGTGAATAACTTCTCATTTGCATTCGTTCCCTACTTTAATCGACAGAGGGGACGCAAAGCAGGATAATTACGATACCTATATATCCCATCCCCTAACAAAATTACTTCCCTTTCCCATCTTGTAGGAAAGAGGAATAAGGCCTCCGGCACACATTCTTCAGACAAAAGGTAGTATTGCTTCCACTTCACGACTGTCTATTCGAACGAAGATGTTAAAGTGGGCTGTACCACAAATTATAAATGAATAATTAAAAAAAATCAATGCAAAGAAAAATGATAATAATTTCAACATTTACTTGTAAAATTTACAAAAATATGAATACTGTTCCTAGTTACATAAACTTCTAATTTTATTAACACTTAAAATATTCATAAATAAGTAACAAAATTTACTACTGCCATATTTTTTCACAAGCTACATGGTCAAAGGATTTTTCAAACAATGGATGGAAAAGTTACAGCAGTGCAATTCTAAAGTAAAATATCCAACAATCGCAGGAATTAAATAGAACAGTAAAAATACAAACTTCACAGTAACGCATAATTTTCGTAAACTGCCTTCTGAGTGTTGCCAGGGCCCCTCCCTGGCTACTTACCTACCTACTACATTGCAAAATATAAAGAAAAACCCACATAGATAAAAACGACTTGTCAATATTTCATTAAAAATACGTCATAAGTTAACTAATTTCTTTGCAATAAAAATCAAGTATTACTAATCGACCCCCCCCCCCCTTCCTAGTTGATCTTTTGGCGTCGCCCATAGCTATTGGAGTAGTGCTATTCACAATGTTCCGGTCGCGGACGCTCCCTGCATATAAGTGCGATGCGCCTGCGCCGCGGCAGCCGCGCCCCGCGCCATACGCTCTGCTCACCCCCCAGCACCGCGTGCGTGAACTCGTAGCGAGACACGTCTCTACAAATACAATACAAAACACTTAGGGTCTGTACTCACTGGTGGTCCCATTGACCTTTCGATTGACTGATTGGGAAGATCTATCCCATTATCCCATCCCATCCATCTATGCCAAATTCCTTCGAGATCCATTCCACCATTTAACAAGCACTATCCATCCATCTAAACATTCACTTTTATAATACTAGTAAGAAGTAAGATAATTAATTTAATTAAATGCCACATCAGAGTTAGCCATTTCTAGAAGTATGCATTATTTACTTGGTATTGAACCCTACCTCATGATATAGAGGCAGCGTCGTTCAAGCAACGCATCCAACTGTAACTCTGGCCGCGCTTCGTGCACCAGCCGCATCACAGCACTTGATAGAAGACAAAGTCCTGCTATTGTATTGCCACAAAACTGTAATAAACAAAACCACTATAACCTGAGTAAAACTAATATTAACAAAATGTGGGACTAATTCCTTTGCACACTTTAGAAAGTGATGTAACTAAGTAGATTGAAGCGCCCCTACTCTGGGACTGTTATATTGGTTATTGGACATTTATATCCCTCAAAATATTTTATCTGCGATTTGTAAATCATTAACCTATCAGTTTTCTTATTTAAAAGTCTGATTATCTCTTAAATATGAATAAAAATAATTTCACTAACAGCTTACCCTCACAGCATCAATATGGGGTTTAATATACCCCGCAGCTGCGAGGTCCAATACATGCGCGCGTGGTAGGAGCTCTGCATGAGGAGAGAATGCTGTTTCACGCACCCGTTTTAGTATTGCAGCATTCTGTTCATTCCAAGAATCACGTTCCGTTTCACGATACCCTTCTATGGCCTGTATTATTTAGAAAAAATAAATTTTTCACAAGTGCTAAGTATATTTGAGGTTGTATGTTAAGTAATAGCATAAGTTTTTTTGAATTAGGTACCACTATAATAAAAGGTAAAAGAAATATGTGAAGACCAAGAACAATATTGCAACAGATGAAAGAAAAAGGGGGCTTCATGTATCGGGTCAAGAGAATTGGATTTTGTTCCAGAGACAAGAACATTGTTAAGTAAAAGAGAGTGTAGGTATCAACTAGTTTCAAATTCATTGTGTTTTTGTTCTTTATTCTACAAGACAGGAGGGTTAATAAGCAACAGGCAAACTAATGATAATAAATTTAAATAAAATGACATACATTATCCCAATGATCATATTCATATCTCAATCTCTTCAACTGTGGTTCAAGTTCAGACAGCAAAGAACTCTCTTCTTCCTCAGTCACAAAGTTAGGGTAGATCCGCATAGAACTAGTTGCTTTTATGCGCATAGATATTTCTCCTTCTGGCCATGATGGTAATACTTCTATATAATCTGGATCAGGTGATGCACCTTAACAACAAAAGGACTATTCATTGAATAATAAACAAACTTCAATATACTGATGTGGGTTTTTAACCATTTTTTTGATAACACATGTGTTCAGCACTCATGGACATTTAAAATAACTGGAACTGCCTTGCCGGCTTTTGTTAAGTACGCTTGCTTCTAGAAGAACCTTACCTTAAGTCGTAGCGGTTTGTAAATACCACCGAGGCGAGACCATTCCACACTGTGACGAAAATTTGGCGAAAACTGCACTGTTGAGCATCCATTAAAATGATGTACGTAGAACCAAGCAGTCTGTTAAAGCAATGAGCTTTTATGTGGTAAAAATTAAAGTACCTTTTGTTTTTAAATCGTCTGATTTAATGTCGACCGCATCGCTTTTCAATCTTCTTGAAATGTTATACGCCAAAGCGTTACATTTGAAGTGACGAAGTATGCTGAAAGTAATCATTCGCATGGTGCCTATATTTAAATACTATTAAAACTAGGACACTGAACACTGAATAAAACCTAAATAAACAAAGTTTGTAATTTTATAAAACTTAAAAAATTGGCGTTTTGTTTTGTACATCAGCTGATTGTCAATGTCAAAACCTTTTGACGTTACTCGAGATTGTGTTTTTATTTCCATTTTTCGCAGATTTTAAATAACAAATTAAGTTTTAAATTCTTTTAAGCCAGGTTACATGACATTTATATCTAATTTGTTCACATGTGATAACATTTTTTCGATAATCATCATAATTTTCTTTTTGAAAAATATTTACGCATCGAATGAATATGAAATATCGTAGGGATTTGGAGTGTAATCTTTTAATGGCGCTAATGCCAATGCTTCGGACTTATATTTTAAAATTCCTGTATTTTGTTATAGTAATTTTCATTATTGTTGGAATGAAATAAAAGTAAAGTTATTAGTATTTATAAGATAATGAAGTACGTAATCAATAAAATAAGTACGTATGCATATAATCAAAGTTGTATTTATAGCTTGTGTAGATATTAATAGTCTGGACTATTCAAGACCGGACATGCGACATAAGAGCTGTTACCGATCAATGTAGTTGACTAGACTAGCCAATTACTCTAATCTTTTGATACGTGAATAACAGAAAGCAGACCAATCGTGCCCAATTGAATCAGCTTGTAAAAAATAACCCGACCTCGTGTAACAATAAGGCAAGTGGCGCAACTGGTATGTGCTGTGTACATCGTTAAAGATTTGCCTTTCCCCTCATCAATTACAACTCAAATAGTGTTTTTTAATGAAATTAGGACGACAAAAGAGTTCATCTGTTTCATTTGTTACGGTTCATTTGAAAGAATGAATATACATACCAACTAACAATTTATTAGAATTTATCACTAACTTACAATACACTATATAGTCGGTTTATTGCAACTGCTACTTTACTAACAAAAGGTATTTTTTATTAATAAAACTATAACATAATAATCTGGTCCACTATATGCCGAACAAACAAAGACGCCTTTTTTCTATGAACACTATTTGACGTTTGTGTTCCCGCCAAAAGATTAAAAATGGCAGATTGATTTTTTTTATCTTTGCGAGTTGTAAGTACCGAACTTTGTGTACCATTCCACGACTGTAATAACAGAGCCGTGGTTTAAAGGATGGTTACAAAGCTTGGTATTTAAAATGGTTTATTTCTTTGAGGTGATTGGCGTATCATAGCAGGTAATTACTAGAGGTCGGCTCCCGACTCGTGACTTCCGTGGATTGCGCAAGCGCTGGGGATCCATTAGATGCGCCTGTAGGGATGTGTAGTCGATATATCGATATTATTATGCCAATTCGATAAGGTTATTAAAATATGAACGTGTTATGTTTTGGAATATTTAAACTGTTTTATAGATCAAGAACATCGGCTAATGGATTCAATCGCGAAAAATAATCGTAAGTTTCCATTTCCAAAATACCTGTACACTAACTTATTGTCATCGCTCTTATTCTTTCTGAAAAATATAAACAAAAGAAACCATCGTTTTGCGCGTGACTTGGCTATACAAGTTCTTACTGTACGTTACTCTTAATTTAGAAAGATTCTTGTGAGCCGTAACTTTTTAATAATATACAGTGAAACTTAACAAAGATAACATATTTATAGATTATACATGTGCAATTGATAGTCTTTGAATAAAACGTGCTACACATCCTACGTTATCGGATTCGCGCTCATCTCTATCCGAATTAGCATGTCGTGCTCGCGTCGCAGTTTGAATTCTTCGAACAGACGCACCGACACGTTTCTACATATTAGTGATGCTCTCACGATCTATCGATCATTTGACCTTGGAATTTCTTCATATACCACAATAAAAAAATACACTTGTACAATTACATCATAAAATTAAAGGTCTGTTTTTCAAAAAACAAAACTTTTATTGAACAAAGTGTATTATATAGAACATTTACTACAAATCGATAACTAATGATATGTAAGTGTTGCGTTTTTGATTTAGCCTCTAGTTTAAAGACAATAGACTATTTAATTTTAGAATAGTAACATCACTAGTATTGTTTATTTTAGTCACATCCTGCACAGATGGTATGTTACAGTAAACTGTGTTTGAGGAAGATATTACACTAAACAGTTGGACGTGGATTCTTGTCAGTATGGTATGTGGATGGACCAACGGGTTTTCTTAACGGCATTACACTGGGATCAGTTTTGAATTGGCTTGTCACCAAGACCATCACTAATAGTAGTAATAATTTACTTTTACGGGACAAATGGTTGTTTACGAATGACATGTAATCGATCATTACACCCCTTTTCCATCAAACGACGAGCTGTGGGACTTTGGCTGCGCGCAACTATTTATTCAAGAGTACTAACTATCTAGTGGAAAAGATTCAACATTGCTCATTAAACATGCTAGAGACGCCTAATAAGTTGGACTAATGGAAAAGGTGATTTTACAATGACTTTTCCCTGACTTAGAAATTCTGCATTAAACTAAAGTTACTGTTCAGGTTGTAAAACAAGGGTAGTTTTAATAGTTACTGGCCTCAAGATCGTTGCCCTCACTATCAGGTTCACTGCACACCGATGACAGATATCTGCGGAAGCTGTGACGTCACATCCTACACACCATGCCCCGTCTGGTTTATTATGTAATCTGTGGTCTGTGACAATGAACCTGTCATTGATGTGTCAAGGATACTCTATTGTGTTTTAATGGGAAAAGCGCGTGGTATATGGGAAGTCTTTTTTATGTTAATTCCATTTGTTTAACCATAACAATGTAATGGTTATGCATAAATGTGTTGCCATGGTGTTTAGTTTAAAAACTGTAATACGTGTTGTTTACTGTCTTTTGAGTTTAAAAGAAATTATGTTTTAATTTATAAGTTTTTTAATATCTAATAAGTTAGTTTGGAATTATTGTTATAGTATGTTGTTAGCCGATACATCAACATCTTTGGACGTGACTGTTCAGTAACGTGTACATGCACGAATTCCTGCCTAGTCGTGAGACTTCTGTGTTTAATATAAAAAAAAAGCAAATAATGTTACAAAATTTTTTTAAAATAATAGAGGTTGTTAAGTGGCTTCAAGCAATCGTCACGCAACGCTGATGAGGTTTAACATGACCTCATTAGTGTTTTTACCCGACTGATAGGATATTTTTGGTACAAGTAGTTATGTTCCATTGTGGTAATGCCTTAATCTATACTAATATTATCAAAAGGAAAGATTTGTATATTTGTATGAATTGAAATAACTCAAAAATTTTTCACTGTTAGAAAGGTAATTAATTTGTGAGTAACATAGGCTAAATGTTTTATTATTTTTTAATTTCACACGGACGAAGTTGCGAGCTAAATAGGCATCCAATTTGTAGTCTTCCCTGGAATGTATAAGAGGGGTTTAGTCACTTGATGGTTTTAATTTAAATTGCTATTCGTTATAACGAATTTTTAATATTATTACCGTATTTTCCCGTATATACCGTATTTTCCCAATATTATAATATTGGGATGGATGACAAATAGAATAACAAAATTAAAATAGAGCATGTTAAGGATATGATCGCTAAAAATGTATATGAACTAATAAAATCGCAACCTTGTGTTAGCAAGAATGTGGTATTTGGCATTTTATAATTAGCGTATAGTAACTCATTTGAAGGATATACAATAAAAATATTTGAGATGCACAAAAATGTTATAAATCTTTTATCCATTTGGTATCTCTATGTTTAATTAGTAGATATAATCTATTTTTTTTTTAAACTTTTTGTGCGTTTTGAGGCCATTACGCATACCATTTTCTTGATTTCACGGTTCTCGTGTGTTACTTGATCTTGACCCGCGCATCATCGCGGCATCATCGTTCCATAAACAAGGTTCTTTTTATTCGATTTATAAATTTACAAAGGCAAAGATCCGTTAGTTTGTCAGCCACAATAAAATCCACATCGAAAGTCATAGTTCAAAAGATTTAATTTTTACTCTATAATTTTAAAGTCTTCTTTATAGACGGTATTATTACCGAGAGTTTCCATTGCTATTATATTGGTACAAACATATTACTTGTTTAATTTTTCGCCATACGCTATTAGCCGCTAAAAAGCTTGAAATTTATTATACTGTAAAACTTAGCGTAATTCTACACTGTCAACTTTTAAATCTGTTTATATAAAAGCAAATCGTTTTATGTTTTTTAATCTGTTGAAATGATTGCATCACTGGCACACTTGCACCATTACAACATTTAGGCGTTTACAAATACGACCAAAAAGGTTCCTTATTGTGACATTATAATACAATCACTACAAGCTACAACATATTTGCATATGCAGTATTGTCTCTGATTTGATATAAAACAATATTTGCAATATTAAACATCCTTATGCGTGTCCTAGTAGATTAGTAAAATTTCTAACATAGAACAACTCTCGCCCTTTTAAACATTACCAAAGACAAGCGACATGATTTTAAAATACTGGCAATTGAAGACAACACACCACCTATGTCGAAGATTTACAAATTATTCCAATAGTGTTTCATATTGTGATTACCAAAATATATTAAGTCTGAATATTAACTACCAAAATCCTATATATTTCCTTACTTCCTGATCCTTTTTCAAAAATTTCCGATCCATTATTTTTACTGTTTTTATCATTTTGTGTTACGCGACTTGGTTCCCGAGTTTTAAAACTTATCACTGGCTGAATACACTTAAGTGTGAAAGCCAAGAAGAAAAAGAAAAAAAATTACCAACATATAAATGCAACGGCATCGCCTAAGAAATTAGGTTTCTTAAAGTTAACTTTCTTACAAAAAATACAATACTACGAACAGTTTTAAGTATAAAAGACTTTTACGACTTTGGTAAGTTAAGTCTATTGCTTGTAGATTATTCAGTGGAATTACAACAGAGGTATTCGTTATTACAGTGAAATTACACCTTAACTGCGTTGTTTAATGACACTAGTACACAACGGGTAACAAACAAGCTATGATTAGCCTCGTTATGTCACAAATGTCATAACAAGCAAAATTATAGGTTATACCGCGTTTT